ATATATATATATATATATATTAATGTAGCCATTGCAATTTCCTTTGAATTTGAATTTTAAAAATTTGATCTGGTGTTGGTTAATTAATGAGGCATGCACTAATTGTGCTTTTTCAAAATTAACAAGAATCAAGATTAGAGAGTATTTGGCAAAGAAGTACTTATAATTACCTTTCAGACCAAACAGCAAGAGTGTCTTCACCGTGGCTTTGGTAGACAAACAACCCACCAGCCCACTGCTCACTTCTATTGTAAGGGGTCACCCATATTTGGTTATTTGTGAAGCCACCTCTCCTTTGAGGAGGGTCATCAAGGTCAAGCAAGCTAGCAGCCGTGCCACCCGGAACCACCTTGTACCCGACCGGGTTACCGACCCGTGTTTTCTTCGTCGGGTTGAACACGTGGAACTCGGAGGGATCGTAGAGCTTTAGCTTGATTTGTGCTTCCTTTTCTGTTTTTGCCACGTTTCTAGTGGCTTTCAAGTAGCTCCTCCTTCTTGACTCTCCTGGTGAGGTCTTTTCCCTTTGAAGATGCACTTTGGCAAAGGAGTTATCTGAGCCGTCCACGTCCATATCAAGATAAAATGTGATGTAGTGATCATGTATGACTCCAATTACGTTTTCGGACAAAAGCGTGCCGTAGAGATTCTCTTGGTTTGGCACTTGATTAGTGTTGTCATATTGGGTGCCTTTCACCATCAAAATACCACTAAGCCCAACCTGTGATCAATTTGTTTGGTTTTAGAAAAATGTTATTCAGTGGGAAACATAAGAATTGGGGAAATTATATTGGCACACCATACTTTTATTGACACACCATTTCTATAAATGATATTTTTTTATTACAGCTTTAAGTTTTAACCTTGCGCTGAAATGAGTTTTATGTAATTTCAGAATTTGTACACCCACAAGCAATAACATGTTTTCTGTAAAATCAATAAGGATAATACCAAAAAAAAACAAAACAAAACAAAAAAAAACCACTAAGCACAACCAATTTTAAATCTAGACTCAAAACTTGAATGCATTCGGTAGGAGACATAAAAGCTATTAGTGATCCAATCGTTACATAATACAGATATATATAATATATTTAAGTTTATTAAACCTAACGTTACAATTTATATAATAGTGTAAGATTTAATAATTTTGCTTTTTTATCTTATAACGGTTGTATTTATTATACGTGGCGATGTATATCATCAATATTAATTGATAAATAACTATGGAACAAGAGATACTTCTATTAGTAAACAAAGTATATGATTTTGACTGAGAACAGAACACATGCATGTTGAATAGTGGAACGATAAGAACTAAAAAAAAACTAATTAATTGGATTATGACTAGCTAGCTAACCTTAATTCTGATTAGTCCGTCTATTTGAAACTCCCAATCCACAATATAGTCATAGTTAGCGACTGATGCTGCCATCCTCACCACTAGTGTCACCTTCGGCCGCACTTCTCTAATCTGCCAAAAAATACACCAATACCAAACACAAAAAGAAAATGTTGGAGAGAATATCAATGCCATCATACATCATTTGTTTTTTTTTTTTTTCCAATTATTAAAAAATACAAATCACAATAAATATATATATATTTGCATGGTTTTGACCCATTGGATTCATGTTATCGGATCCAAATCCAATTATACCCGTACCTGCATGCCCGTGATGGGACTCTCGGAATGTCGCCACCCGATATCCCCGGCGTAGCTCTCGAACACGCAAATCATATTCGATTGCACATACGGTGTCCCGTCGGCAGCTGCAAAAACACCGTCCATGTAGTAGGCGTTCCGGGGACAGTCGTTGAGCGGGTCAAGAGGCATGGCCTGCAACCCAAACCCGTATTCGCCCGCATCCATGTACGTCTTGAAATACCATGCATCTGTGGGGTCCATGTACGGCACAAACAACTCGGATACCAATCCTTTGTACATCACATCTCTAAACTTTCCGGTATCCGGGTCTCGGACCCTTGCCCGAGAGATTATCACTCCCGCCCGAGCATCGGCTTTTAGGTGAAATTCCCAATTTGCCCACTTCACAAGGTGATCATCCTCCACGGTGAAACTTGGGCCCTTGGGTTGCTCAATGGATATCGGGTTAAGAATATCCATGACCCGATTGGGCTCCACCGATGAAAACCGGTAATCCGTGTTGGCAGCCTTTGGTATTGGAATGTTCGCTCCCTTATCCGATAACTCCACCACTTGTTTGGTGTCCAAGTCAACGATCACGGTCAACCCTTCTATTGGCCGCATGTAGAAGTTCACCGTATCCTTCATGGAGTAGCACTGCACCTTTATTAACCTCCTCCCTTCCTCAGCCGCACCGTACCAACCCGTGGAGATTGGTAAACAAGCGAGGTCCGTCAGATCAACTCCTCGGCCAGCGATCGTGCGGTTGAACTCGGCGCTGGCCAGCGGCGCCACCGTGGCCGTCGTCATGTCCTCCACCGTCATTGTCGGGTACCCAGAGTGGGGTCCGGTCCGCTGCACGATAACCTCAGACGTGGTCAGGTCAACGATCAGCACGTGCGAGACTCCCCTCGCACGTGCGACTACCGAGGCCTTCCTCGGGAAAAGCGGGTTGCCCCGTTCCCATTCCAGGACCCGGGACTTCTCGGGCTCCTCGAGCTCCACGGTGTGGAGCGAGTGAGGCCCAGGCGACTGGAAGAGCGCGTGGGAGGAGAGGATGGCTTTGACCCGGTTGATTTCTCCAACAGTGAGAGGATCCAGTGGGTGACGAGGGGTGTCACGCTCGTGGCTTCGGCTGCGGCGGCGCGTGGGGACTGGCTGTGGCTTGGGCTGGAATATGCGGTTCTTGGAAGAGGTGCACCAAGGGGAGCTAGCGGCGCAGTCGAGAATCTCTGTCGCGGAGGGTGGCGCGGAGGGGAAGTTGAACCATGTGAAGAGGATTAAAACGGCGACGCTGAGAGAGAGGAAGATGAAGCGAAGGAAGTTTCTGGCTTCCATGGCTGCTGTAAAGAGAGAATATCCTAATTTCTGATCTTTAGGCTTACGAGAAATGAATCTCAAACGAAACAAATAAATGAAGCGTGAGAGAGAATTGACAAGTATTATATTTTAGTCCACAATGTGGACGCACAGTGGACTGGACTCTAGCCAAACTTGTGCATGATAAGTGCTACCTTTTCTTCTATTGTTTTGTTTTTTTCTTCTCTTCTTTTCTCTAGATATTTATTATTTTTATTTTTTATGACAGTAACATTTTGGATATTTTCTTGCAAAATTAATTACAATTTCGTTATTCCATTTAAATAATCTAAAAAAGCTACCAACTGCGTTTGTCAATATTATGTATTATATACGCATGTAATGGCATATATGTACTAAAATTGCAATTTGATTAATGTTGTATGTAACGTATGATTTGTTGTCAATTAATGTTGTATGTAACGTATGATTCTAGTTCAAATTGTTTTACTGATAAAATAATAATTTGTTATTTTACCGAGTCTTTAACTTTTGCAAGTTAGATTTAGTACGTTAAATTTAGTGGTCTCTCGCATGTTAATGAGATCTTACACGATTAGACTTTGTGATCTCTTTTATGTATTGATGTTGCTCTATATAAAGAACTTTGTACGTTCAGTTTTATTCGCTGAGAAATTGAAAAAGGTTCTTCATCTTTGTCTTCTTCCACTTTTATATATAAGCATATATATATATATATATATATATATAAGATCTATTATCTCTCCGAGATTCGGATAAGAACACTTTTGTCTAATAACAGATTCGTATCAGATTAATCAGAGCTTATAACTTGGTACTATTTGTCTGTGCATATTAAAAAACAGAAATTATAATAAATAGTATTTTTACAAAACTAAAGTAAGATACGTAGTATAATTTTAAATATATATTAAAAGTATATATAAGTGAATAATAAATCTATTCAGTGGGTTATTTCTTAAGAGCAAAAAAAAAAAAAAAACCAGCCCGTTGAGCCAACAACAGAGCCTCCCGTAAGGCAATCATATGAAATTTGTAAAATCTTTTATTTACTTTAATTTAGTTTTAAAAATTTATTATTTACTACAATTTCTAAAAAAATAATAATAATAATCAGTCCTAGATCTCTACTGCGCTACATATTTGTGGGTTGACTATAGCTTGTGAAGACCCACCCCAAACCCCAGAAGAGAAAATTAAGGAATCTTGTAATAATTTCTTTTTTTTTTCAAATTGATATATAAATATGGAAATTTAAGATAAATATGTTATAGTATTTTAGATTTTTGTATCTCTCTAATGAAGAGGTATTTTTCTAGATTTTCTCCGCTACTAATTCCTGTGCCGCCGCTTAATTAAAGACTCTCATAATTTTTTAGCTTATCCCTTGAGTAATTGGATCACTCGAACTATTAAGACAGATGGAATCTTTTGAATTTTGTGATTAGGGACAAAATGTCCACAAACAGGAATTGCCGTGACTACAATCGCCTCCAAGATTTATTTGTTTGTTTTTACTGGCCACCAAAGATTCTCCCACTAATTTACTTCCTCATAGGTTTATTTTATATAACTTTTTTTTTTTTTTTTGAGAAATTCACAGATAGGTATAAGTGTCTTTGTATTTGGGCCACTCAAGGCCTAAAACGACACTTTGAATTTTTATAGCTAAATAATAATTACTATAATAACAATAAATAATAATAATAATAATAACACAATAATATAATGCAACAAGTGGTCTCAAGAAAGCACAATCTTCAAGTTTTTTTTTTTTTGAGTCCCTCCTTGGCATTAAATCAGTTGACGTGCTTTATTTGCAGCAACTTCCTTGCTGCCGGAATCTTCATTCGGCAGACTTTCAACTGATGGAATTATCATCCAGCAATTTCTCACTTTAATATGTTATCAAATTTTGAAGTTACGAAAAGTTTAAAATGGTCATTAGCAGTTGCATATTAATACAGTCCACCAAAAAAAAAAAAAAAGTTTTAAGGACCAATCTTTTTATCAAAATTTGTTTTGCATTAAAATTCTGCCGGTGTTAATTTGACAAAGTGGTCACAATGATCAAAATATTATTGGAGTGGTCTTATTAGTTTTTGGGTAATTAGAATTCCATTGTTAGGAGTCTCTATTTTAAATATTAGATTTTTATAACATTACAAAATATGCACTATAGGGATAGAAATACATGTCTAACTGCTGCTATACATGTTACGTAGTCCTAAACTTGTATTTAATACATAAATTGGTTCCCTAACATTAATTACTCATTAAAAATCATCTAAAATTACTCGTATTTAAAATGGACAAGGGGACTAGTATTTGTTCTTATTCTCACTTGATGGCCTACAAACAGGAAAGTCATGTTCAAAAGCAGGTGGAATCCTTAAAATAGGATTGCGTTCAAAGAAATTGGCTGGCTTTAGATCAAAGCTTGACGTCACCGTGGGCATTATTGGAAAATCCTCTTGACAGGGTATGTGATGAAATCCCATGGTGTACCACAACACAATGTCCTTATTCTCAATCGGACGGTTCCTAATCATCATCACGGGGAGCAAAAAAAAAAAAAACAATATTAATGAAACTTTGCATATGGAAACAGAACAAAGCTTAAGACAAATATATCTATAGATATTATATTATGGCCTCGTTCACTTCACATATTTAGGTCCCGTTCACTTCGCTGATTCGAGTTTAGAATTTGAGTTTTTTTACAGTAAAAAGCTCTCACAAACAATCACATCTAACTTTTTTGCTACAGTAAAAAGCTCTCACATAAAATCACATCTCAACTCAAATTACAAACTCGAATCAGCGAAGTGAATGGGCCCTTAAGTTTTCAATTCAAACTGAGCTGATATGTGATATTCTTTTAGAATTTTTAACTATAAAAATTTAAAATTAAAAACTCAAATGGAAGAAATGAACGAAATTATATATATTTTTGTACCTCTCAGACCAGACTGCAAGTGTGTCATCTCCCTTGCTTTGATACGTCAAAAGCCCACCAGCCCATTGCTCACTCCGGTTATAGGGAGTCACCCATATCTATCACATAATACAACATGAATATAACAAATCTCAACTCAAATGTATAAATAAAAATTAAAAAAATAACACGCTGTTAAACTAATATGAGTGTACATAATGTCAATAATGGTGATGTTAATGATGATGATGAAAGGACTTCTTAATATAATCTCAAGTGTAAAGAGTTCCGGTCAAATTAATTTCAAAGTTAAAAAATTACAACATTATTCAATTGATATGAGAGAAGATAAATAGCAAAACTAATAATTTTTATAAAATAAAATAAAAAATGAACACCTGATTGTTAGTGAAAGCACTTCTTATCTGTGGAGGGTCAAGTGCATCAAGCAAACTGGCTGCAGTTCCACCGGGAACGAGTTTATAACCCGTAGGGTTTCCCAATCTAGACCGCCGGGATGGATTGATCAAATAGAATTCTGACGGTTTGTAGAGATCAAGCTTAATCTTCGCGTCGTTTTCGGTCTTGGCTATGTGTCTCTTAGGTTTTAGGTAGCTCTTCCTCGGCGACTCACCTGGCAAAGTCTCTTCCTTGACCAGATCAACCTTAGCAAATGAGTTGTTGGGTCCATCTATGTCCATGTCAAGGTGGAAAGTAACAAAGTGATCATGAACCACCCCAATGACGTTTTCAGACACTAGAGGAGTACTACTTATTTCTTCTTGGTTTGGCATTGTTTGTACATTCTCATAAGGACTCCCTTTTACCATAAGCATACCCGAGAGCCCAACCTGGAACATGTTTATAAAATTACTATTTCACCATCAATATACTAAGAGCCCGTTTAGTTCGTTGATTCGAATTTTTAATTCGAGTTGAGATGTGACTTTATGTGAGAGCTTTTTACTGTAGAAAAAAAGTTAAATGTGATTGTTTCTGAGAGCTTTTTACTGTAGCAAAACTCGAATTAGTGAAATGAACGGGGCTTAAGGCATATTCTTTTACCTAACTCAAATCACAATTCAAAATTTTTATTACAGTATTTTCTCCCATAAAAATTTAAATTCAATTAAAACACACAGCAAACATTATCATTATACGCAAAGGAAATAGCTTCTTTAACATATAAAATCCAAGCTAATTAATGTTAAAGGAGAAATCAGTTAATGACGGTTGAATACTAACCTTGACTTGAATCAAACCATCAGTTTGAAATTCCCAATCGAAGGTATAGTCATAGTTTCCAACTGTGGCAGCCATCCGAGCCACAAGAGTTACCTTCCTTCTAGCTTCTCTAGCCTGTTCCATTTAATTCAACTCTGTACATTATTTATAGATGTGCATAGTGAAACAAATTTTAATTTGATTAAAATTATATTTATAGTAATGAGAAGACACGTACTAAAGTACCACTATTGATCATAATTGAAAATAATGAGTAGAACTTCAGAAAAAAATCTCATAGCTAGCTAATGTGTGAATGTGTAATTAATTGCACATATCATAGCACTAATGAAATTAGTGGTTGATTTTAAGGATGATATAGGTCTCGTTCATTTCGCCGATTTGAGTTTTCAGTTCTAAGTTTCTACAGTAAAAAGCTCTCAATAAATATCACATCTAAGGCCTCGTTCACTTCGCGGATTTGAGTTTTCAATTCGAGCTGAGATGTGATATTTTCTGAGAGCTTTTTCACTGTAGCAGAAAAAGTTAGATGTGACATTTTCTCACTGTAGAAACCAAAAACTGAAAACTCGAATCGGTGAATTGAACGAGGCCTAACTTTTTCTACTACAGTTAAAAACTCTCAAAAAATGTCACATCTCAACTCAAATTAAAAATTTAAATCTGCGAAGTGAACGAGAACTATGTAATTGTACCTCTAGACCAGGGATAAGAGTTTCTGAGTGTCGCCAGCTAACATCACCAGCATATCTTTCGAAGATACAAATCACGTTGGGCTGAATATATGGCCCACCATCTGAGGCCGCAAAAACCCCATCCATATAGTAGGAGTAGTTTGGACAATCATTCAAGGGCACAAGTGATGAGGCTAGAGCCCCAAGCCCAAACTCACCCACATCCATGTATGTCTTAAAGTACCAACCCTCATCTAGATCCATATAAGGTACAAAGAACTCCGAAGCAAACCCTTTGTACATCACGCTTCTTAGCTCCCCGGTCTCCGAATCTCGAACCGTGGCCCGGGAAATCACCATGCCCGCTCGGGGGTCCGGCCTAAGGTGGAACTCCCAATTGGCCCATTTCACGACGTGCCCGCCCTCAACACTAAAGCTCGGCCCATTGGGTTGCACGAGTGAAATAGGGTTTAGTTGTCTCATCTCAGGAGGCTTCTCTTGGGCCGAGTAGCGGTAATCAGTGTTAACCGCCCTCGGGACCGGGATGGCCCGACCCGTGTCAGAAAATTTAACTACCTCTCTCTTATCAAGGTCCACCGTCAAAATGAGACCCTCAATGGGCCTCATATAGAAATTAGACGTGTTCCCGCTCGAAAAGCATTGGACCTTGACGATCCTCCTCCCCTCCTCGTTGGGCCCATACCAGCCCACCGAGGGCGATATGCAAACCAATTCCGACAAGGCAACACCTCTTGCGGCGATAGATTCAGCCAACTCGGGATACAAAAGTGCTACCTCCACGGCCTTGGAAATATCATCTAAGGTTAACATCGGGTACCCAGAACTTGAGCTTATCTCATGTCTCGTGACCCGGCCCAAGCCCAAATCCACAGTGACCAAGTGGGACTTACCATTGAGAAGAGCTATAACAAAAGCCTTCCTTGGAGGAATGGGGTCACCATTTTTCCAGCCCAACACTTGAGATTTGTACGGCTCTTCCAAAGTCAACGAGTGAATTGAAGGGAAAGTGGATGAAAGAGGTCGGTATGAGAAGAGAATGGCTCTTGCCCTTTTGATTTCTTCAATTGTAAGTGGGTCTAATGGGTGGTGAGGGATCTCACTGAAGTGATCAATCTTGGATTTGAACCAAAAATTGTGTTGTTCAAATGAGCCTTTGAGTTTTAACTTGAATGTTATAAGAGGAGGCCATGAACGTGAAACTATGAAGATAAGTAGGAGAGAGATGAGCAAAATTGTTAGTTTCTCCATTGGATCTCTCCTTCAAGTTTGAGAAACCTCTTTCTTTTTTTAATTTATTTTGGTGGAGAGAAGAAGAGAAACGAACTTCTTGTACCATATGCAAGTGTTCATTTTAATAATGTAATGTAAGCCATGCGTTGTTCTAGTGATAGGGTACGGGACCCGATGGGGACAAAATTCAACTTTTGATTATGACTCGTTTGGTTGAAATAGAAATTAGAATAGTTATTTTTCCTTTTTCTTTTTTTTCTCAAATAGTTCTTTTCTTTCTGGTATTATATATTACATTAAAATATGTTCGATACTTTCTATTTTTAATAATTTTACGTCGGTAGTTTAACTTTTTAGAGAATTTTCTTTTAATATCACAGGGTAATTTTTTAAGACACGAAAAGATAAAAGTATTTTTATCTTTAAATATATAAAAAAGTTTTTTAAAAAATCTTAATCCTGCAACTAAGATTTTTGTTTTATGTTTGGGACAGAATGAAATTTAGGTGTTTAGTTGCAGATCTAAGATTTTTTAAAAAGTTTTTTTATATTGAATAATAATGACAATTTTGTCTTTTCGTGTCTTAAAAAAGTACCTTAAAATACTCAAAGAAGATTTTTTTAATAGATTAAGATACCGGAACGAAATTATTAAAAACAGAGATACCAAACTCATATTTCAATATAACACAGGATATCAAAATAAAATTTTTCCTTTCTTTTTTTATAGAAATAGAAATTAAACTAGTTGCACATTGAGCGATTGTTGCATGAATGATTAGGAGTTCAATATTTATATTGTCAATCTCTAATTTATTCTTCATGTTTTGTTTTCGTTTTCGTTTTTGTTTTTGGTTTTTTTTTTTTTTTTTGCTTTTTTTATTCTTTTCACTTTTGGTTATTGTTGCTTTTTTTTTTTGGTTTAAAACTCCTATACAATTTTTTTTTTCTCTTTTTCTTTTTAAATTATTTTCTTTACTTTGTCTATAGTCTCTTTTTTTTGTTTTTTCCTCTAATATTCTTTCACAATTTATGTTTTTACAATATCTTTTGTTAAAATACTTTCTTTTAATTAAAATAAGTTTTTTTAAATATCTCCCTACTTGGATTTTTTTTTTGTCAAACCTCTTATATAATTTGATTCTTTTTTTATATGATATTTTAAAATATATATATTTTTTACTCCATTTTTAAAAGGACAATAGCTTATAAACGACAGAATATCTTACACTTTTAAAACGACAACAAGTGTTACAAACAACAGCAGCAACTTGAGAACGGAACAAATTTTCAAAATTATGCTTTTTATTTTTGAAATTTCATGAGGAAAATTTAGAATCCAACTTGGGAGACGAGAAAGGATACAGAGAGATAATCTGCATACTTACAGCATATGAATATAAAGGATTGAGTTAACAAAAAGCTTGGTTCAACGATTTAAACGGTGGAGATTTGAACTTTTTTTTATTAGAATTATAGGATCTGAATTATAGTGACTTAATTGTGATCCAGACTATTGTTTGGATATATAAATAAATTGTAATTTAAATTGAGAATAAAATTCGAACTGTATTTGGATAAAGTGTTGAAAACTATCATTATAGTTTTGTAACAAATCTTATAAAACTTCATTATTAAATGACATTAAAAAAATATGCAATATGGGTAGAGATTTGTTTCTCTTTTCATTATGAACACATTAAAAAAAAATCATTTCAATAGGAATAAAAACGAAGAAGTTATAACATTTTTAAGATTGAAATTGAATGGAGAAAAAAGTATAACTAGAACTATTAGACCGTAGACAACAAACCAGATTTTTAGAATTTAGAGGGGGGTGTGAATTTTAAATCAACAATTTGAGTTGTCCTTGAACCATTGTTAATGGTTTGAATTGTCCTTAAATTTTCCTCTCCTAAACACCAATTTAAATCATGAATTAAGGTTTGAATCCTAAACAACAGTTTAAATTATTGAAATAAACAGGGGTTAAATTGATCGTGGTGTCTTTGAAGCACGGGTGACCAATGGGGTGAAAATGAACACTTTCATTTACACTAAAGTGTGTTTTAAAAGAAAAAATGAGAGAGTTCAAGTACTTATATCTAAATTTGAGTCTAAATTTAAGTTTCTTTTGTCAATGGTATAACAAACCCAACTTTTAAATACTAAAGCATTGGTGACCAATGGGATGAAAATTAACACTTTCATTTCCACTAAAGTGTGTTTTTTAAAATAAAATAAAAAATGAGAGAGTTCAAGTACTTATATCTAAATTTGAGTTCTTCTTCTTCTTCTACAAACCCAACTTTTATATACTAAAGCTGTAAAGCATTTAGTGACCAATGGGGTGAAAATTAACACTTTCATTTCTACTAAAGTGTGTTTTTTTTTTTTTTTTTTAAAATGAGAGAGTTCAAGTTCTTATATCTAAATATGAGAAAGGAGGCATTCCCTCTTCTGTACATCTAACACATGATAGATAAATTATAGATTCCTTTCCCAAGCTTTAGCCATATATTGCCCGAAATATGAGGCACCTATATATAATTATTAGGTTTTGGATTTTAAGTTAATAAAGTGAGAAGGAATCTGTTCATATGCCTCTTCATATATACGCCAACAAACGCGTAAACTTAACGTCCTATGTATGTATGCATTGATTAGTAAATTCATACAATTCTAACCCAAAAAAAAAAGAAATAACAAGGCAAGTTCATACAAAGTTACTAGATAGGTGATGCTCCATTTGCTTATACTCAACCACTGCTTTAAATTGGTTTCTTTTAGCAATATAACATAACAATCGTTAGTTTACCGGCCAACAACTCTAAATCCAAGGCAGAATTTGGTACTCAAAATTAAAGTTGTAGTTGGATGTACATACCGAGCTTTATTGTTCAAAATATCTTGCGATTGAAAAAAAAAAAAAAAAAAAAAAAAAAAAAAAAAAAAAAAAAAATCAGAAATTGAATACAACAAAAAATCAGATTGGTTTGTTTGTTAAACCATAATATCAGCTACTACTTTAATTTATTTCTCCCATATTAAAAAAAAAAAAAAAATTGGGGTCTCCTTTTATTGTTGGAGTTGCTTACAAGCATGCCTAATAGGATTGCCATTGAAAATTATGAGCTACTTGGGATTTTGAACGAGTCCGTTTGAATAATGAGGCAAAGGCGTACAAATAGTAACAGTAAACCAGAAAGCGATATATTCATAGAATTAATTGAATTGTGACTTAAATTTCCAAGTAACAACAAAACAACGATCAAATTCCCTGTGATAAGTTATGACGAAAAATTTATTATGATACCTTGTATTAATTAGCAAAGACCAAGAAAGAATCAAAGAGTGAACTCTTTTTTTTTTTTTAATAAAAAAAGGTTCTGGAATTGGATTGAGAAGAAAATAACTAAAATATTGTTTAGGATGGGTTGAGTTTAAAAAATTTCCAAGTTATGGGAAAATTGAGATTAAAAGTTGAAGAAAGATCATTTTTTTTACTATAATCTTCAGAGCAAGTCATGTTTGTTGAAGTAAATTAATTAGATTAGTTGAGTTAATTTCGTTGTGATTAATTAACAATATAAATACAGAGACAGACTAACTTGAATTTGAAAACATGACACACCAATTTAAGGTTTCTTTCTAGAAAACTTGCCCTTCTTTTGAAGTTTCTTTTCGTTACTGCTCACGGGGCTCTTGCACATGCATGAACTTAAACTAGACGCGTCTCTTTCTCTCTCATTCATTTCCACATTTCTTTTTGGGTTATCTTTGTCTTAATAATAATAATAATTATTATTATTATTATTATTATTATTATTATTTTTATTTCATTGAATAAATAGAACAAGGTTCATCACAAGCCTTGCTAATTGTACAACTAAAATCAAATGAATGGTAATATTAGATTTTTACTTTCTTTTTCCTTTTTTCAAAGTAGTTAGAAACTCTAGCTGTCCAAGTACATGTATGTATAGATAACAACTATTAAAAATTCATTCTTTATATCACACTCCCTTTGTTAGTTAAAACCATTCTGCGAGTCAAAAAATAAAAAAAAAACCCCCCATTTAAAAATTCATTCTTTATATCACGGGGACATTTCTGAAAAATAATCTGAAGACGTTATCCTTTTTTTCCATTTTCATTTTCTCTTGGGTTATTTTCTTTTCTCCATTCTCTTCTCTCTTATTTTTCCGTTCTCTCTTTGTGAACTTTCTAAAAGTCTTCTCCTCCCTCTTTCCTTATATTCGGCGGTCTTCTCTCCTCCAGTCAATCAAATCTCTGGTCTTTTCTCTGTCGTTTGAGGTGGCTGATTCCAGCTACCTTTGAAATGTAAGAACTTGCACTGCTTACAATAGGCCTTAACGCATTCAGGACTAACTTTTTCCACCGTGAAGTATTGCCATACAACGGATTTCTTCCTCCGACGCTTGTTGGGTTGTATTTCTGCTATTGTTACCTCCCTGTTTTCGATTGGCACTATTGTAAGAGTATCCATCTGCAGGGAACAAGATCTTAGATTTAATCCAAGAACAAGAAAGAGAGATAAGGGGAAAAAAAAAAAAAAAAAAAAAAAGGGAGAGAGAGAGATAAAAATCAGAAATATAAAAACACACTATTTATTTGTAATGTAATTTTTTTTTAAAAACTTATTTGTAGTTGACATGCTTAGGAGAAATATTTTATTGCTAATGCTAATTACTATGTTCTTATATATAAATTAACTAATAATATATGTGTACATTATCCTAATTGTTTATTATTTACGTATCTTAAGATAACTGATAAATAGTAAGAATAAAATATTTACATATAAGAGATATGTATATATTATATTAATTATTAGTTTATTGATTAGGGAGTTTATTAATTGCTTAGTATATTATTTCAAATACTATTACATGTTTTTAAAAATATAAAACTAAATGCAGTTTCAGTTTTTTTTATATTAAAAATAATTTCTGAATAAAATTACCAAACGCATTTTAAAAATGATTCTTGTCTAAAATTAAAAACGTTTTCATTTCTCTTTTCATATACAAAACAAAATTATTTTAAAACGGGTTGTGTTTAGTACCCCTTCAAATTAACCTTGTTAAAGAAGACTCTCATGTATATATATGTTTATACATATAATATACGTATTTCCTTTTCTGAAAGGAAAGTGACTGCATACTTTGCTTGCTACGTTATGGTATTTCCAAATAAATGCTAATGAAGAATTAATTGGTGAGAAAAGATATGAGTTAACCAAGTCAGCTATGAATCAAATGAGAAAGTTCCACATTATTTAGGAGACATTTGATTCATAGATTAGAATCATAAGATTAGAACTATTTTCAATTTATGTGTATTTTTATGAGAGAAAACACTGTAACAAATTATAAATCATGATTCAAATCGGAGTATGAATCTTCCAACCAAACAACCCATTAACAAATCTTCGCTGTAATTCCTCCAAGTAATAGAATGGTGCAGATTTAAGCCTCTTTTTTCGTTTTCTAAAGTGTAGTTCTGGGGAACATTTTAATGAATAAAAAAAGGGTACAAAATAAAAATAAAAAATGTATTTTTTGGTTAATTTTACAATATTACTCAACTATTTGGAAAAATAAAAAAATGTAAAAATAAAATCATGGACAAAAAATTGGACCAAAAAAAAAGTTCCATGTAATTTCATTACACCGAATTGAAAATATATCTCGATTTCCCCATTGAAAATCTAATTTGTATTTAAAAAAATATTAAAAGAAAACTAAATTATAATACCCAAATTGCCCTCCTGAAAACTAAAAAAAATATTAAAAGAAAACTATTAAAGAATCTGGAGGACAAGCAGTAATTAATTATTAAAGAAAAACTTTTCTTTGATAATTAATTACTACTATATACTTTTAAAGAAATTAACTTTTAATTATGAATTTAAAATTATTTTAATTTATGTGTATTTTTTATTAAAAAAATATTATAATAAATCATAAATCGAACGACACCACTCTAAATTATAAATTCATATCCTTTTTCCATTTACCCATCACCGAGTCTGGAGGACAGAGTCTGAGAGGAGAGAAGAATCAAACCAACTCCTCAAAATCCCCAATTTCCCTCCATTCTCTTCTCTCTCTTCCCCAAAAGGAAAAATTAAAACCCCCTTTTTATTTTCTCTCCAACCAAAAATCCCAAACCCTAAAAGAAAATTTCGGAATTTTTGGGGATTTTTCCTAGCGGAAGTGGCTAATCAATGTCACAATTGAAGACGATCTCTCACATCGACGGCGTCGGAGTCCCGTCGACGCCGGGGAAGTTCAAGCCGGACAAAGTGCCGCCGTTTTTTCACCGTCTCCGGTGGTTCCACGTCTCCATCTCCAGGCTGACCCTCTGGTCCTCCTTCTTCGTCGCCTTCATCGTCGTCTACTACCTCTTCTCCTCCCCTTCTCCCTATTCTCCTTCGTCTTCTCGCCGATCCCTCGGCGTCTCCTATGGCGGAAAGGACTGGGAGCGCCACGTCACCCGCTCTACCAGGCGGCATTCATCGAAATCCGGCGGAGGAGGCCTCACCGTGCTCGTCACCGGCGCCGCTGGTTTTGTCGGAACTCATGTCTCGATCGCCTTGAAGCGGCGCGGCGATGGAGTCCTAGGGCTTGATAACTTCAATGACTACTACGATCCGAGCCTGAAGCGTGATCGTCAGAAGCTTCTGGAGCGATCGGGGATCTTCGTCGTGGAGGGAGACATCAACAACGCCGAGCTCTTGTCGAAGCTCTTCGAGGTCGTGGCGTTCACGCACGTGATGCACCTGGCGGCTCAGGCTGGTGTACGGTACGCAATGCAAAACCCTAGCTCTTATGTTCATAGCAATATAGCTGGGTTTGTGAATCTGTTGGAGGTCTGGAAGTTGGCGAATCCGCAGCCGGCGATCGTCTGGGCGTCGTCGAGTTCGGTTTACGGGCTGAATTCGAAGGTACCGTTCTCGGAGAGGGACCGGACTGATCAGCCGGCGAGTCTCTACGCGGCAACGAAGAAGGCCGGTGAAGAGATTGCTCACACCTATAACCATATCTACGGGCTTTCTATTACTGGATTGAGGTTTTTCACGGTTTATGGACCTTGGGGAAGGCCAGACATGGCGTATTTCTCTTTCAGTAAGAATATTCTTAAGAGGAAGCAGATCACGATCTTTGAAGCGCCTAATCATGGGACTGTGGCGAGGGATTTCACCTACATTGATGATATATTGAAGGGCTGTTTGGCGGCTTTGGACACGGCGAAGAAAAGCACCGGGAGTGGCGGGAAGAAGAGGGGCAATGCTCAGTTGAGGGTCTTCAATTTGGGGAATACTTCACCGGTGCCGGTGACACAGCTTGTGAGGATATTGGAGAAGCTTTTGAAGGTGAAGGCCAAGACGAAGGTCTTGCCTCTGCCGAGAAATGGAGATGTGAAGTTTACTCATGCCAATATAAGTTTGGCCTACAGAGAACTTGGGTATAAGCCCACAACCGATTTGGAGACTGGATTGAAGAAGTTTGTGCGTTGGTACCTCAATTACTACCAAAATTCCAAGAAGAGTTCCTGGTGAATTCAAAGATATGGGTTTATTGATTGCTTGTTATCTCATTCCATTTGCCAGCTTTGCTCAATTGCTTTATCATACTCGTGATATTGTCATGAAAAGATTAATGGTGTCCTTATACGGATTAGTTTGCTGTTTGAGGGCACTGGGTTGCAGGGGGATACTTGATAATCTCTATCAAAGGAAAATTGGTGGGATCTTTGATTGTTTTTCTACATGTTGCTTCTTTAAGATGTCATTTCTAGCTTAGAAGATGTACATACAGTTCATGACTGATAGACCACAATGATAATGCTGATTGGTGGATTAATTTTTATCTGGATGTCACTTGAATAAAAATAGAATTTTGCTGCAAATGCAATTGCTAGAAGCTACTTCATCTTGTGTTATTATATATATGTTTAAATTGTGTTCTTATTTTTGTATTGATCGATTTTATGTTCTGCATAATTGAACTTATAACTTGGAGAACCTTTAGTTCACAGCATTGCTCTTAATTGTGGATCAGAAAGAATCATATTTTATGGTTGTGCTTTTCCATCCTTTGTTGATAACTTGAACGCGTTGATATTTTACAGTGTTGGCCCATTATTCATGGAATGGAAGTATAGAACAATTGTTACTGCGTTTTTACTAAATTTAACTCTTTTAGTCGCATTTCTGACAATATAATGTTGATTTTGGATTGAAAAACTTCTAAATTGTCTTCGTTGGAGTTTGGTTTGGCAGTTCATCATTACTCTATGCTCTAGTGCCTCCTTTCTTAGCAGTTTCTGCTATCTAACACGCTTGGTTGGTTTATGTATTTATAGTATCTTCAATCTTGTTATCATTTCCTCGACATAACGTGGTTGGTTTTGCTTTCTTGGTTGCTAATTCCTTTTATCGTTTTGAACCTATGAGAACAAGTTTACACGCTCAGGACTATTTATTTCAGAGATGATACTGAAAAATCACAAAAATTTACAATTTTTGGATGCCCCGCTTGCTTTGATGATTAAGAGATGGTTACGTAACAACTATAACTTACCTTGTGAGAGGTAGAGTTTTTGTTTCTAAGCTTCGTGTTAGCAAAAAATTGATCTCATATTATATTGTGCTGCAAATAGAAAGTGACTGAAGAAGTTCAGATTAATCTTGAATGTGAATGTTTAACTTTCTTGACAATATTGAGTGTCCTGTGGATTAGTATTATGTGAAATTTATAAGCAATCTCTTTAAGATATTGACATTTATAATACAAACTTAGGCAGAGGTTGCTTCTTATCAACTCTGTAATTTCGCCATCCATTGAATTGATGACTCAGAGGGAATTCAGGGAAGTGACGGTAGAGATCGATTTTCAGTTCGGAAGTGTCTGCATTTGAGGATTTACTCATTGAAAAACAATTATCTACAAGAATACTCTTGCGACTAGTGAATTACTATTTCTCATTTACAAATGTTTGCAGATGGTTTCCAATGGTAATGTTCGTGCATGATAGAAACACAAACAAATACACTTTTTTTTTTTTTTTTTTAAGAAAAATAACTTGTGAGTTGAGATTTCTCAATTAAGAATGTTTTCGTTTTTAATGATACACGTTCACGCATGATGAGATAAAAAGCTATAGACATTACAAAAAAGAAAAGAAAAAAAAAAAAAAAAAAAAAGAGTTTAACGGCACATGAAACTAAAATATAGCTTGTTAACTAGCAAAGTTTAAGAAACGTGCATTCATGATATTCATAATGCGTATATTGCTGAACAAGAAGTCACAATCCAAACTCATCCCTCACTTTCACACAAAATTTCAGGTTACACTAACCAATACAAGGTCAAGTGAACTTGATCAAAATCAGTCACTATATACAATTACACAAGATTGAATCATCTGATATCATTCCCTTAGGTAGTAGATTACCTGATTATCTCTCTGACGCCAATTCCCACCAAGAACTGCTCTTATCAACCTGCTCACAACCATCACCATCATCATCATCCAAACCACACAAACTCTTCTTCTCCACCTCAGGGTCATATCTCCACTCCAACCTCTCCAAAACATCCTGGTCCTTCCACTTCCCGACGACCGAAACCGCCTCCTTCTTCGCCTTCCACATCATGATCTCCCTCCAACAAAATCCGCTATCTGCAAACCTCTTCAAAGCCCCGCCGCCAGCATCGACGCGTTCCCCCACAACGACAGTCTTGACACACCTCTTCTTAGCCTCTTGAAGAACTTCCACAAATCCATAATCATCCGACACAAGCACCAAACACTCGGCCCTCCTCTTCTCCATCACCGCCACCATATGACTCTTCCTATCCCCCACATTCCCAACCCAAAAACCAGCTCTCTCCAACTCATCTCCTAATCCAAAGCCAACTTTTGGCGTCAAAACTTCCCTCACAGCCTTCTTATACTTGTCCATCTTCATTGAATACTTCGCCACCAATTTCACTCTCCTACTTCCTCTAGCAGAGTCTATCTGATTCAACCTCTTCGAATTCTCTCTCTCATGAATCTGCTTGAAATGATTAACGAGCTTCTCATGGTTATAGAAATTCCTCCCACAAACCCCACAATGAAAAGACTCACCACACGTGTTCTCCAACTGGGTTCTTCTTCTTCTCTGATCTCTAGTGGGTTTTGCGTAGGCGATCATGTCTCGGACGAACCCAAAAGAGGAAGCGGTTTTCTTGAGCTTGAGGGCGGCTTCGAATGGCCGAAATGGGCTCGGCGGTTTGTTGTCCAAATCCCAGAAAATTGCGACGTTCTTGGGTTGTTTTTTCGGTGTTGGAGAAGAGTTTGGGGTTGGAGAATCGGAACCCAGATTTGGTTTGACATGGTAGAATCTGTTTAAGAGAGTGAACAGGTTTAAGTGGTTTAATCTTATGGTCTGGATTTTGTGGAAAGCTGCCATTTTTCTGAGGGTTTTGCTATTGGCTTTGCTCGAAAAGGAAGGAGGCGGAGAGGAGGGAGATGGAGGAGAGGAAGAGAGGCCACGGTATTTTAATCAGGCTTAAATTTGTCATTTATTATATTCTTTGTTTTAAGTTATTTTTACGTTTTTTTTTTTCCAAAATTTCTGCATTGAAATTTAATCAAAATTACATTTAAATAAAAAAATACAAATTAATTAAGTTTCTGATTTAAAAAATCTATTAATAGAGTGCTTTTAATGTCTATTTTAGAAATTTTCTTTTTATCTTTCTTTTAGAGGTGAAATAAATCTTTTTTAACAGAAAACTGGAGTTCATATTATTGAGAAAGAAAATTCCAAAGAAGAGTATGAACAGATATACTTTTAATTCCTCGAATATTATTTTTAATGTTATCCACGATATTTGCTTTCAGGTTTCAGAAATAAAATATTCTCAAGATTATAATTTAGAAGAAAAATATTTTCTTAGAGTTTTTCTTTTATCTTTAATCAAAGTCAAGATAAGTCAAATCACATAAACGTGCAATAATAAAACACATATTAGAAATGGACAGATATACATATTTATAATCAATCACTACAAATGATAATTATTAAGCATGCATTTAATTTACGTATTTATGTTATGATTTAAATTATAATTTATTATTTATTATAATATTTTTTTTAAAAATAATATACATAAATTAAAAATAATTTTAAATTTATAAACTAAACGTCTATTAAATTTTTTAAAAAGAGGATGTTCATTTCCTTTGGAAAAAAAACAAAACAAAAAAAGCACGTAAAAAGAAAGAACTTTAATACAATTATTTTTTTCTAAAAAAAAGGGACATTAATGTCCGCCGTTAAACATAACGCTGACGAGCGGTTGAATGAGATGACGGAGTCACAGAGAGAGAGAGAGAGAGATGGCCCAGCCACGTGGGTGTCCGGCTGGATGATCTTCCTGTCCATCGATCCCCCGAATCAAAATTCAAGGATTTCTTATTCTTCCCCCAAAATACCAGCGACGACCCATCAATCAAACACAGACACACACAGAAGAGAAACAAGTGTTTCGATCGATCGAGATCGAAGGAATTCGAAACACGGTTTTGGCCTAAAACCCAACTTCTTTTTAGCTATATATATATATATATACACACACACACACACACAATGAAAGGCGCCTTCTCGGCGCCCGGTGATTATATCTACTTCAAGTCTCAGGTCCCTCTTCATAAGATCCCCGTATGTCTCTCTCTCTCTCAATGTTTTTCCCATTTTCAGGCGATTTCAGTCATGGGTTTTGTCTCATTCGATGTTAGATTTTGATGTACATGAGATTGTAATTGGTTTTCATGATTTTCTCTACTTGGTTTTGCGAATTCTAATTTGGGTTTCTTGTTTAAAACATTTTTTTTTTAAGTTGTACACTACTATTTCAGCTTTAAAGCTCGGTACTTTTGATTGTTCATTACTAATGAAATCGATGGAGAAGTTTGTGTGCATAGAATTCTAGTTTGGTGTCAGCAATTTATTATTGGATCCGGAATTTTTTTGCCGTCTTCAATTTATTAAGGTTTTGCTCAATTGGTTGTTTGCTAGCTCATAGTTAGTAGATCATTATTTATGAGCAGTGTGATTTGTGTGTTTACTCCTTTAAAAATGTTCGGAATTTCGTCGAAATGACGTTACTTTTTGAACTGTTTCTTCCACATATTCCTTCGTTTCTTGCAGATTGGAACAAAGCAGTGGCGATATTATGATTTTGGTCCTAAAGTGGTTCCTCCACTTATTTGCCTTCCTGGAACAGCAGGAACTGCTGATGTTTACTACAAACAGATTATGTCATTGTCCATGAAGGTGAGACATCTGATTCTAGAAATTTCGTTATCTCTCTCACTTAAGTACAGGTTAATGTTTCATTATCAGCCTATTTTATCTATTTTCCTCACAAGTTATTTACCTAATGGCTTGTCTCGATTTTGAACGAGCCTCTTGAAGTTATTAATCACAGCGCTTTTTTGACCTATGGATAGGAGCTCCTTTCTAAATTATTTTCATTCTATAAGAGTTGTAATTCATTTGGACATTTTTGTTAGCTTGTATATCAGCTTAGCAAGTAATTTCTGGGATGTCACCATGAATTTTTCGTTTCCCTTTTTCTTTCTAAAAGAGGAACAAATGTTTACCTCACTTCTAACGCTTCTAAGTTTATGTGATAACAATATTTCGCTTCTTTTGTTTCCAAATCTGCAGGGTTACCGAATTATCTCTGTTGATATTCCTCGGGTATGGAATCATCATGAGTGGATTCAAGCATTTGAAAAATTTTTGGATGCTATAGATGTTCACCATGTAAGTTCTTTTTTGTATGGTACTCTTTTGTTAAACATCCTTTTAATAGACTGTTAGGAAACCATTAGGTAAAACTCAACCTTACAAAACCGCCTAGCTAGGGAAGGGACCTGTGGGACTATAAGAGAAAAAATTTAAACCACTACCTGAATTATAGTAGCTACTCTTCTCTTTTTGTGTAAACTGTTAAGTGTTAAGACTTAAATATCCATGCTGAACTTACTTTTCATATCAATCTCGATGATAGTTACTGGCGAATTGAGTAAACTGGTTCATCTCTTTCTACCAGATACATCTTTATGGTACATCCCTGGGAGGCTTCTTAGCTCAGCTTTTTGCCCAGCATCGTCCGAGACGGGTTCGATCGTTGGTACTATCTAATTCATTTCTGGACACTTGCAGTTTCTCTGCTGCAATGCCGTGGGCTTCCATGTATGTTTTTTATGTCTCACATGGTAGTTCTCTGTAATTCTCTGGAGAGTTTTCTAATCTGATTTGCTTTGCTGATTATGGTATTGCCTCTACTGCAGAGTTAGTTGGACCCCTTCATTTTTGCTTAAAAGATATGTCCTTACAGGAATTCGCGATGGCCCCCACGAACCTTTTATTGCTGATTCTGTGGACTTTGTTGTTTCTCAGGTAGATTAGCGGAGGCCTTTGCTATGTTTTGGTTATAAATTTGTGTTTTAGCACAACAAGAATCTTCCTTTTTAAGATGGAATCTAATTTGCACTGTATATGTATATTTTGGCGCTAATGTGTGATCATTTTAGGTTGAAACTCTCTCAAGAGAAGATTTAGCGTCCAGGTTGACATTAACAGTTGATGCTGCATCTGTTGGATCTCTTTTACTGTCTGACTCACTTATCACAATAATGGATGTATGTCATCTGGACCTCGTTTTAATGTTTTCATGCACCTATAAAAACACACCCCTCAAAGTGATGCCTCTAGAAAAGAAGTTTTTATTCTGATAAAGCATCACTTTGGTCGTAACTACTTCACTTTGAAATCAAATATATTTAACTAAAATCACTTTCGGTCATTAACTGTCTGAACAATCTCATACTTCTGCTCAATGCCATATATGATCACTGCTGTACACCTGGCACTTATTTTTTCCTTAACAAGAACCTTTCAATTCTCAACACAATACTACGACCTTGTTTTAAAATACAAGTTTTGTATTTTAAGATGCAAGTTTTAAAATACAAGTTTTGTCATGAAGCACACACTTCTTGTGAGGCAATTAGCATGCGCGAGTTTTTAACAAAAGACTCTTGTTGGTTTATGTATTTCTTTTCTATACCTGGACGTGTCTACTGTCTGCATGTTCCCTCCTTGAAGACAAATGACTATTGTGCAATTCCTCAACAACTGAAAGACCAACTTTGTGAGAGATACCCTGGAGCAAGGCGAGCATACTTGAAGAGTGGAGGAGATTTTCCATTTCTTTCGCGCCCCGATGAAGTCAACCTACATCTTCAGGTAATGATCCTGTGCTTGCTTATGCAGGATTGTGTGTTTCATTTTGCTTTATCTATGAGGTGTATTGAGTGGAAGACCTGCATTTTGATCTTCGCAATGTTGCAGCTACACTTGAGACGTGTTGGTGTAGAGGCTCGACCGGACTTGGTCAGGAGTAACCCTAGGGAAGGCAATGGTGGTGGGAATCCTAGTGAAAAGAATGACAAACAAGAAGATCCAGATGACACATCAAAGGATGACCAGGGAACCTCCGAAAATTCGTCTGCCCAAAATCAGCCACCTCTGGCTCCCGAAACCTCGGAATCTCATAGTTTAGACGGTCAGCTCGATAACGCAAAAATCTGGCACCTGGGTTTCATGAAGAAACAACACATTGTATCTCTACCCACTCAAATTCTCTTGCAAGTTACATGGGAGATCGTCTCTCTTCATTTCATGCCACTTTATATGGGAACAATGTACATTATTTTGAACAATAGTTGGAAATTTAGACAAGCTGTGTAAAATAAAATAGAACTTCTGGGGAACTTCGTTTGTGTAGTTGTACAAACAATTTCAGACCAAGTTTTTGCTGTTACATCCTCAAGTCACTCGGCACATTTGGAAGTCATAACTTGTTCCCAGTCCACGTACTGTTCTCCCTGATCATTGTAGAAAGATTCAGTGTAATTTCTTCATTTTTTTTTTTTTTCAATATTCTTATGGGCTGGTACTGGTTTTCTTCACCTTAGCATAGTTCTAGAAACTAAACTTGGCTTTAAGAGATTAGAGCATTGCAGTCTTCCGGATATGGAATGTGTTATCTGATATATCCTTCCTAGAAGCAAACCATAACAGACTTTCTGCAGCTCAACTCCGCCAAGAAATTTACTGCATCAAGGTCTGGTTAAATTGAATTTCATGAGCTACATTCCATATGACATGTTTTGACAAGATGAGAAAGGAAAAACGAGCTCTTCAAAATAATAGGAGATCCATCCATGATTTTTAAGCCTCACTATGATGAGCAAATAGGCATGGCAAAATCATATGGTGAAATCAATCGTTCAAGGGCAAAGGCAATTATGCAAGATTGGAAATCTCAAAATTGCTATATAAAATAGAAATTTAATCTAAATCATACGCTATAAATGTCAAATAAATATAATTCAAAAACCGAAAACAGCTTGCTATAGCATATATAATTAAAAGAAAAGTGAGACTTCCATTGATTCCCCAAAAAAGAAACATTAGTAAAACGGAAAATCATTTTCTGCATATCTCCCAGAAATTGGGACAAGAACTTTTCACTAAAAATGATCCACACTACTCTAGAACTCGATAAAATGGACTCTGTAGTTATTGCTCAAACCACTACTAGCATCCATATTCTTCTGAGTGATGAACCTCTACGCAACTAGAGTGCTTGCAGTGGTCGACTCGCTGCAAATACAAGTTACAAGAGCAAACATTAGATTGGAGGGACAAAACTTCTATACCCATGTTTTAGTCTATCAACATCAAATGCGTTTACAATGTTCAACATTTAAAAAGTTTACATATAACTACTAAATATAAAACAATTCATAACAAAATAAAAGAAAAGGGTCATTGTAGATAATATCATAACAAGTTAAAAACTTTGGATATTTGCATAATACATTTCAAATAAGGAAACTTCCAATGGAAATTGTCATACCATTTTATAATCATATCACTAAATCATTAAAATGCAAACTTAACAGAACGAATATCTGACATTCGAAAACTTGTAGCATTTCACGAAATTCTTCGAAAAATGAAAATGGTAGAAATTAGGAAAAAAGAAACTCACTATTTCCAAACTGGAGGAAGCTTCTTAGTCTTCTTGTAATAGCGAGCAAGACGGTGAATTCTGCTTTCAACAAGAATGAGCCTGAACTTGGAGTCCTTGTCCTTCCTATTCCTCTCCAAATGCTTGCGGATCGAAACTGCCTTCTTAATCAAATGGTACAGATCCTCTGGGATCTCAGGCGCAAGCCCTAAACAATCACATTATCGTTATTATTACCATATTACTAATCCAAATTCAATCACAATTCACACACAAATCACCAAACCCTGAAACACATTTATCTCAACTGAATATCCACAATGACAGATGAACAAAATTACCATGAGCTTTGAGAATACGCAGGATTTTG